TATAAAAAATGGCCAATCGATTAATTCGTACCACGACTATGTGGATGATTAAGATCAGTTGGCATAACCTGACGATTGTGTTGTTCATCATTACTGGCGGGTTGATTTGCTGTATTTGTGTCAAACGAATATAAATCATTTGGACCACCTAAGATATATGTACATCAGAATAGGAAAGATAATTGAAAAATTAATTCGTACCATCAGGATTTAAAAGACCAAAATGTTGAAGATTGCTTGACTCATCATCAGCACCAGTACGTTCAACATTACCATGATGTTGAGCCATTACAATTATGTAAAAACAATTTTCAAGATTAGAATGCTTGCCACAAAATACAGAATCAATCTAAAAGAAAAATTGAAGACGGTTGAAAGAATTATAGTGAATGTCACTTGATGAATATATGATTTATATAGATATTTACATAAGTAAAGAAAAGAAACAACGAAAGAACATATTATTCTGAAAAGTATAAAAAAGAAAAAGAAGAAAACTATCAATCTGACAGAAGAAAGAACAACTGTTCAAAATAACAGATCATTTTGTACGACTTTTTAAACGACAGAAATTTGAAAATATATATGGAAATTAATCACAAATTCATCATTGCCGATGATGATGATGATGGAACCATTATTTCCTAAATTATAACATCAAATAAAAAGATATCAAGTTCATTTCATTCTCATTTTGCATCTATATAAAGATAATAAATTAAGCTGAAGCATAAGTGAAACGATTCCGAAATGTCTTTAAACTACATTTTTTTTTAATTTGTAAAATGTACTCAGTTTCCGAAAACATGTTCTTAATAGGTAGTCAGATGCTGCAGAATGTGTCCTCTCTATTGTTAGCTTACTTGAATGAAAGGTGATTGTATTGTTGCTTGTTGATAAGGATCATTCCACATTATTGTTGACAATGGAACTACAGCTAAAAATCAATAAATATAATTACAATCGATCTATCATTATTACGGTATATTGAACTGTATCGCATATCCACGAAATCTAAGATAAGAATGAGAACAAAATACTAGTATGACATTCGTCATTTGTTGACAATGTATCAAAATTTCTATCGCAGGAGCTGTCTTCTACTCCTCGGTTTCGTCAATATGTGGTAAATTGATCTAAATAGAAATATTCTCACCATATTGTTGATGAGGATTAAACATAGGTTGAAACATTGGTGGTATCGCTTGCATGGATGGATTGACAATCCAACCACCAAGAGCATTAATGCTCGTCGGAGATGATTGACGATATTGTCCATATGATAATGGTATTGAACTTGGACACATTTGGATATTTGCTGGCATAGGAGTCAATGATGGTACCGGTGGTGGTGGTGACAAAGAAGCATTATCTATTAATATTAAATTATTTAAAAAAGAAGAAAATTAATTTGAAAATGAAACAAACTTGGACGAAAAGATTTGTAATCATTTGAATCGCCTTCCTTATTAGCCAAAATTCTTCACGTTTTAATGCTTGTTTACATTCAATCTATATCATAAAACATAATGATTTTTCAAATAAGTAAGTAAATCTTAAAAACCTTTCTTCCATGAAGATTAAAAATACGAGTAGAACAAACAGCTTTTGTTGTTGCCATATCTGAAAATGTTACGAAACCAAATCCTAAATCAATTAAATAAAAAAATTATTTTCTTGACAATGGCATTTCTACCTCGATGCCGACCACTATATCGATCATAAATAATAAAAGCTTCTTCAACCTAAATCAATATACTTTTCAAATGAATTTATCCAGAAAAATTGATTTACTTGTCCACAAGATTGAAAAAAAAATGAGCCAATTCTTTCGGTCCAACTGATGAAGGAATACTACTAACAAATATTTTTCGTTCTCGTCGATATCGCTATTAATCCATTAAAAAGAGAAAATATTTGTATATCAATAAGATAAAATATGTTTACTGGACCAACTCCACTATCTCCTGAATCACTACTAGTACTTGTTAATCGTCGAAGAGGTGTTAATTGTTGTAAAAGAGATGATGGAAGAAAATGACCTAATACTATTGAATCATTGTTCATTGTTTCTTTATCTATATCAAACACTTTATTTTTCTTAGTGATTTTACTTGATTTGATATGGAATAAAATTATTCGAGGCAAAAATTCAGACTGCATTATAACTCATAATTACCAGTTTAATTAATTAAAAAAAATATTTTATATTTATTTTCATTTATTTATAATATTTTTCTTAATTTTTTTTAAAAGTTCTAATAATTAAAAGCCTACGTGCATGAATGTGTTAAATCAGAGTTCGAAAATTCTTCAATACGATTTGTCGTTGAAGACTAGATCAATAGACTTTTTGTAAATAATCTGGCATCCCACTCTGCATCTTATACCACTGTGAAGCTAGCAGCAGGACCAATAAGAAGAATCGGATGAACTTGCCAACCAAAATAAATGCATAAAATACCTCAAAAAATCCATGAAATACCACAAATTTTCCCTAGCAACTAACAATAAACCTACAAAATATATCAAAATAGGAAGATAATACTGCTACTAATACCAACACCACCATCATCAGCGAAAATTTGTTCTAACTTATAAATCACATGAACATATAGACCATCTCAAGACAGTGTTTCTAATGAGAATTCGAAGCAGAGTGCGCGTCCATAGTTTACCTTCACTATTTCCATGTTTTGCCAGCAAAAATCAGAGTGCGCTTTCGAAAAGCACAGTTTCCGCGCACTTTGCTCATGCTGGCGCACTCTGTCATTAGAAACACTGTCTCAAGATGTTCCAAATGAGGTATTGAACAGTGTGAAAAACCCCGTCGGAGACAAACAGAAATTAAAAAATGCTGCTGTTAGCACCATCATCAACATGATGAGGGAAAATTTGTGCTAACTTTTCAATCACATGAACATGTACAGCGTCTTAACTCATTATCTCTCACAATTTATCTTCCATATTAATTAGTATAAAAAAACGATGCATAGTGTCTAGAAATCGGATCTGTTTAACATCACTGTTTTCTATTCACAATCTGAAAAATAAAAAGAAATAATACTATATACTGTATTATCAGCCGTATATTTTGAGACAAATGCATGGCTACTGAAGCATGTGCCTCAACATTTTTTTAAAGTAATATCCACAATCATTAAATGATTGAATATAATATTGAATAGCATTATAAACATTAGAAATAATGTTGAGAGTTGTATATTCATCAATATTTGTTTGAATTTGTCAATATAATTGAATGCCAATATAAAAATGAGTAATAAAGATCATTGATAGTTTGTTGTAATATTTACAGAACATGATTATCGGAAACATTTTTATGCAATTATCTTTCATAATAAGTAAATGGTAGTTACTCTTTTATTACAGTCAAGTGGGGGAATTCGGATCAAAATTTCAAAAATTCATCTTGTTTGTCTTCGTTCTCCTCTGTTATACATCGTGTAGACGAAATTTTTATAAGATAAGTAGATTGAGGTTTTCTC